ATGTCAGCCAAGCTGAGTAGTCCAGGAGGAGTTTATCTGGCAAAGAAGGTAAATAAAAATGTCTACTCAGAAGACCTCTAAATTCCATCAGACAGGGATATACAAAAGAAAGAGACACAGGGGAACTAATATTTGTTGACTGCCAGGCACTTTGAAAGAGCTTTACGTGTTTTAAATAACTAATCTTCGTAACCACGTGGTCAAGACGGTATTACTGACACCATTTTATGGGAGAAAACAAAGACTTGGGGAGCTAAAGTATGTTGTTCCTGGTCATGGGACTGGAAAGTGGCAAGAACAGGAAAGAACAGGAGAGATTCCCTCCCTTGTTTCAAGGATCACTAAAACGGGAAATCACGTTGAAACCGAACTTGGCCTTGTGCTTGGCAGTCAGTTACTGTGTCGATCCTCTCTGAGAGAAGTAAAGAGGTGTATCTACAAACTGCCCTTCAGCTTCTCATGGAGGCCAGCGTGTGCCCAGAATGGCAGCTGGCAGGGCTGAACTTGCAGCTGATATATCCACATTTGTGACCGGTAGTTGTCGGGCACTGCGCGCGTGCTGCCTAGCTGCTTATGGAGCTTTGCTCTTTAGGGTCACTTAATATTTTCCTTCAAATAGACCCACCTTATCTCCAAACACTGGAAGTGAGCACAGCGTGTCTGCTCCTACTTCTCTGAAAGGCCACATGTATGTACAGAACCCATGTATGAAACTTGGTCTCAGATTATAGAATTGCTTTTTTCTTTTTCTAACTGTCACCCTCAGATATGAAAATATACTTAGTAATATAGGTCAAATTGTCAAAGAACTCACATTTTGATTAAAGAAGTTGAATGAGAGGGCTTCTGGGGTGTTGATCGTACAAGGAAATATGGTTTCCATACCATTTGTATTTATAGCTCTATGTAAATATGGGATATATAAATACATATATATCTAAATATGTAAGTATTTTCTTTACAATCATATATATAGCCTTATATAATTTGGGGCTATGTTATGGTCCAAGTGCTGCTTCTCAGAAGTACTCTTTATTTCCTTTAACTCCACAGAAATAGAGACTGTAGAGATCTGAGGCACTCTTTGATCAAAGTTCATACGCGGGATAGGAACTTGCACACTGGAAAGGCAGCTTAATGTTCTGTACTCAAAGTCTTTGACTTCAGGGAAGGTGATGGCATTGCAAAATGTAAATTTTTCTGAGGTTAATTAAGCCAGGGAAAATTCCTGACGCTTTGATTACAAAGGACTGAGGGGCACACTGCATATAGTAATTAACAATAGCAACATAAAGCTCTTTAATAGAGGCTTGTATTCAAACAAATTGTTGCTTATATAAGTGTTTATTCTTTCACTCAGATAGGGATAAATATTATGAAGAAAAGTCCAACCCAGTGAGGAGGGAGAGATGACTGAGGTGAGGCCATTTAGACTAAGTGGTCATGGAAGGTATCCCTGAGGAGGGAAATTTGAGTAGACATCTGAATGATATGAGGAGCTCACCGTATGGAGACCCAAATGAAGAAAACTCCAAGTAGAAGAATTAGCCAGAGTAAGAGTTCTTAAGTAGAAATAAGCAGTGTAGATTTAAGGAAGACCCAGAAAGCCAGTGTGGCTACAGAAGTATAAGAGAGAGAGGGAGCCTTAGTCGAAAGGGGCGGGTGGGGGCGGGGGGGGGAACAAGTGTGCAGACAAGTAGGGGTAGAGGAGAGCCAGATCATGCAGGGCTCTGAATGTCATGGGAAAGAGTTTGGATTTTATTTGAAATGTGATGGGAAGTCACTGAGGGGTTTTGAGCAGGAAGTGACATAATCTGATTTGTATTTCCCAAGAGTCGCTCTGGCCAGGGTATGAAAAACGCACCACAGGAGTGTAAAGGTTAATGTCTGGAGATCAGTTCGGGAGCTACAGCAACAGTTTAAGAGATGATGACAGACAGTGAGGTGATGGCAGCTAAGAAGGGGATACTGAGGCATGATTTGAGTTATGACAAAGATGGAACTGAAAGGACTTTCTCGTAGGTTGGTGATATGTTTGGGTTTTTGGGTTGAGTATTTGGGCAAATTGTGGCACTGTTAGTTGAGGTTGGGAGGAACTGGGGGAGCTCCAAGCCTGGGGAGGAAAATCAAGGATTTAGTGTTAGACATGTTAGGTCTCAGATACCTATTGGATATCCAAGAGGAGGTACTGAATGGACAGTTGTATAAACAAATAAATTTGTACTCAGCGGAAATATTAGGGCTGGCGGCAAGAATTAGGAGTTATTATTATAGAGATGGTATAAAAACCATAGTCTCTGATGAAATCTCCAAGAGAGACCCCTGTAAGTGAAAGTGGATAGCAAAGGGAAGTGGGCTGAGCACTGAGTTCCAGGGCTCAGCTCCAGTGTAGAGCTGGGAGGAGGAAAAGCCAGCAAAGCAAACTGAGTATGCTGCTAGGATGGCAGGAAGCAACCTAGAAGAGTATCTCTCAGAATTCAAGAAAAGATGTTTTAATAAAGATGTAGGGTATGATCAACTTTGTCAAAGCTGCTGAAAGGAAGAGTAAGAATATCCACTTACACAAAAAAGGAAAACTTTTGTAGAAACATTAAACTAAAAATTAAGGGCTCTGTAGTTACTTATGTGAGAAAGTGGGTTTATATAAGGTCATGATTCTACAAATATTAATTGAACAGTCTTAATTATAAAATCCAGCATTTAATCTAAAAATAGTATGACAATTTGATAACAGTGTTTATGATAACTAGAAGCTTATCACACAAATAAAGCAATTAGCCCAAATGCCAACCAGCCAACAGCTTCCTTGAATGGCTACCTACAGGTGGGAGAGATGAGTTCCTCCACTCTGAACAACTTCAGCAACTACTTTGTGAGTTGTGTTGAGGCAAAATATGAAGAGTAGGATACCATACATTCATAAGTAGGCTAAGTTCTCCTGTCAAAATGTCATATCATTGGTAAGTCCATATCACTATTATAATCAAAATTTTATCTCCAAGTAAATGCCTCCATGTTCCATTTTGAATATCACCACTACTTCCATTTCTTGGCCTCTCTGCAGACATTTGGTAAAACTACTGAATTCTATGTAGAGTATTTCTTCCTTGGATGATCTGGAACATTCAAAATCCAGGCTGACTTTCCCTTATTGCACAATATACCCTGAATGAATCATGTGCAAGGTCTGGTACATATTCAAAGAACATGGTTAGGGAATGTAAACCAATAGTCATGTAAGTAAACACACTAGAATAGAAAAAGTAACACACAACAAAATAATCTAGAATCCAGTCCAAAGGAAAACTGTATTAAATTATCCCTTGCTAAGTCTCCCTCCAGCTGGGTCAATAGTGCGTAGGGGTCCCATGACTGACTAGAGTATTCAGCCTCTAAAATAGTGAGGGCTAAGCATATAGCAAGTACTCAATAAATAGTACAGTCATTTTAGGGGGAAAAAAAAACCATGATTTTAGAATTTTCAAGTAAGCTCTACTCTTTAGAACTCCATTTGTAATTGTTCCTTATAAAAGACTTGACCAGTACCAGAGTGGGGGCACTGTCTCCGTGCATAATGGTTTTGTTTATTAGTGGAGTTAAAAATGCTTTAGCAACCTAAACTTACACAATTTGATTTTCTTGTCATTGCTTTCCCTATACCATCAAAGATGATGCTTTCTTTACTATTTCAAACTCACAAAATTGCTAAAAATCTAAAATTCAATTTGCCACATTACTGCTAATTTGAATAATGGCTGAATAAAAGATAGGGAACGCTGAAGCAGCATTGATTTCTAAAACATTTTGCACTTTTCTCCTCCATCCCTGTAAAGTAAAGCTCGGATGCTACGCACAATTACACAAGAAAATCAAGAAAGCCATTACATTCAGCATTTTGTCATGATCATTGTTACCATGGCAAAAAGTGGGCTTAGTTTAGCACAGCTGCTACGGACGAGGTCTGCTGGCCTTTTGTAAAGCTGAGTAACAATATAATACCAAATTCTGTAGCCTGTCACTGTTCTGTTTTGTTTTGTTTTTTTGTTCTGTTTTGTTTTGTTCTGTTTTGTTTTTCTGCAGGATAAGACTATTGTGCACAGATGCTGTTGTCTCATTTCTTAATGATCTGGGCCAGTGTCACCTTATTACTGTATTCTTACTGTTGGCCAGTGACTGAGGAACACAGTTAATCTAGACAGGTTACCCCTTCCCTACCTCCTAACCTAAGGGGAAAAAGTGCATGGTGTGAAAATGTGGCACTTCAATAATAGAAAAAGCCAAAATTTCAACAGTTGTACTATAAATGCAAGGGAAAGTGCACGAGTTTGGGAGCGAGAAACACAAACGCATGGCGACTAACTGTGTGGCACCTTATTTTCTTTCTGAGAATCGATTATCTTTAAAATTGGGGGAAACGTAACTTCCTTGTGAGGATTAGCTGAGAGAATATGAAGGCCCAGGCACATGGTGGGAATTTGATAATAAAGCATCCTCCCCTCCAACCTTTTCCCTTAATTGATGAGATTTCCATGCCTTTAGGACTGTTGACCGAAGTTGGTAGGTAAACTGTTTTCCTATTGGAAGGCAAATCGTTTTGATCTTTGATATCATTTGGATACTTCCCTCAGCTGAGGATATGATCTTTTTAAAGGTCTGAGAGTAAGCATAAATTTCACAGCCAAACGATAAGAAGTTAGTGTCAGTATGATAATAGGCATATTCCTATTTTGAGCGCTACCAGTATTATCGCTGTAAAACGGAAAATGAGAGAGAGTATATACTAATTTTGACCGTATGCAGAGATTTTTAGTTTTAAAAAATGAATCCACATTATGAAAGCAGAGAAGTTTAAATTATCTGAAATGAATACATTAATCAAGTCTCGGTATTTACCAGGAACAAAGGCTACTAGCATTTTTACCAGCTAAACAAAATATTTTTTTCTAATGAGATTTCAGCTGAGTATCGTTTATCTTAAGAGAAAAATAATGGGACCTTACCTATTCCAGTAGCTCCAGAACTGGTCATGCAGGTAGGCATGGTGGCTACATTCATCACCAAATGAGGCTTTGCTTTCAATCCAGTGAATTATGTGCCCTTCTACGGCTAAGGGACAAAGCATTACTAATACAGAGGAAAGAGAAGGGAAGATTGGAAATACTAAACTCTATCTAGGCCTCTCTGTGCTTCACATTAATGAGCAGAGGCTCGACCCTTGCTGTCGTCGATGGAAGAAATTATAAAAAACACAGTACGTTCCTACAAAGACCATTTATGCTATAATCACATCCCTTTCATTTTCATCATCATTTTCAAAAAATCCCCCTCCTGTTCTGGCACTGCCTCTGTAAGTGGACAAGTTCTGTGAAAGCAAATCCAAGTGAGCCAGCCTGGCTTTTCAGAGGAACCATGTTTAAAGATTCAGGACTTAGAGAAATGACCTGACAATGGCACCCAAAATGTTTTCCGAAGACCTGTTTATTTCTCAAACATAGGTAAACATTTTTAAGGCAGATATTTCTTCTGAACCTATTATTTTCTGCCATTCTAAAATAATCTTTTCCAATAATTTCACCCATTTAAAGCTAATCTACTCTGGTAACATTTGCTAATATTAACAAAAAGTAAAAAAAATTAACCTATGGAGAAAACACATCCCCTTTCACTATAAACAAATGCTTAAGAGAGTTTAAGGACTTACCAACTGGAACTTGTAAAATAAAGTCTGGCGTTTTGTCATAACCCTTTGCACGGAGCTGATCTTCATCTATAGGAAGAACAAATACTATTACTTGTACAGTGTTTCATTAACAAGACAGCAATATAATTGCTTTTCTTTCTTAAAAATGTGTAAAAATTACTAATGCAGTCACACATATCTTTCTTATGCATGCACGGCTATGTCAGAATAAATGAACTTTCTTAACAAACCTGAAACATAGATATAAAAATGCCTCTTTGTCCCTTCTGCATTTTTATGTCTTTATTATAAATATCATTAATTCAAGCTGTCATATGCTACCTTTTTTTTTGTAATTGAAAATACTCAAAATAATGAAATATACTTACTGATTAAAAGAAAAGGCTTTCACCACCGTGAATATCACTAATGTTATCAGGCAATATTGACAATTTACAGTCAGGCACAAGCACAGTGGCCTTTACAATTATAAAACAAATGTTTTCATTAAAGCAATTAAGAAAGTTTAGTTTCAATTAGTAAAACTATTCCTATACACAAGAACACAGAAAGGGACAAGGACAATGAGATCACTATAGAGAATTAATTGCCCTGCTTAATTCCTTTGGTATGCTGTTGTTTCTGGCATTTACCAGAGTTTTACAACTAACAATATGTAATTCTGAAAAGCAAACAGGCTTTGAGATCTTTTTCTAAGTCTGTTCAAGTTCCTGATCCTCTGTAAATATCAATGATCCATTCAGAAGGAAAGGAGGCAGGAAACAGAGAGCTTGACAAAGTTGGAAAAAACTAGCAAGGTGCTTGGTTTAAAAAAAAAAAAAAAATCTTCCAATATGTTCTAAATGCTGTCCTTGACTTCTAATGGCATTACAATGTGATTTCTGAAATGAGGAGTTCTCCATTAGATTTTGGAGTGACCTGGTCATTCAATTCCAGACATGGCTTTCTGTCTTCACCCAACCTCAACTAATGGCCCAACCAAGTAACAAGGAAGGCTGTGTGGTCTCTTAACACCTACTGGGCTGTTGACATTGTCATGCATCCCATTCGCCTTCCTGCATCACCTTTGATTAAAATTAATGGCCCATTCCCAGTGTTGGGTAGCTTATTTCCAATCCATTTGTCAGCCCAAGACAGTGGTTTCATGGCCAATGTTCAGAAACTCTGTTTTAGAACACTCTTGTGTACATCTTGAAAGGTCAGCATTTTAAACGTAAATAACCTTTTAATGACAAGGCATATTTAAACTAGATATTTAAGTGAAATTTTGTTAAAAGTGGATAAAGTCCTTTACCCAGACGGTAGAGGATTGATGCCAGAATTCAGAACAATCTCCCCTCCTTGAAATATAAAAAAATTTAAGTTAACTATTGAGATAAGGAAATACAAATTTAAATAATTTTACTTGAAAAACAAGAGAATTTGAAAAACTGGAATGCAGATGAACAAGACTGGAACAAATTTCTATGCTCTCAATACACTGGCCACAACAAGAATATTTAAAGGCAAAGACATTTATTAAAAGTAACTTAAGCACCTTGAGCTGATGTTTCCTGTAGCTGATGAACAGTTTTAAAAGCTGGGTTGACATTAAAAAGCAGAGACCAATATTTTATTAAAACTTATCCTAGCTTGATCAACCTTTACAGATGTTAGAATCTGTTTCAGAAAGAAAAATGATTGTTTCTGAGAGCAGCTCAAAACAAAATTTCAAAGGTCACCAAGCTATCCAAATGCACATACTAAAACTCCTTTAAAAGCAGATGTTGCACTCCTGTTCACTGCACCAAAATTACCAACACAATACCTACAATTTAAATTTTGTCACTTACTTAATGTGACACACACACACACACACACACACAAAAGTTGGGCAGAAAACATCAGGTGAGGCTAAGGAATCTTTCCATCCTTCACTGAAGAACTTCGAAGTATAAACCACATACTTTCTCACTCCACTCTCTCCCCTTACCTCCCTCTATCACTCCCTCTCAGTTTGAAGTTGATCCTATAGTAATTGTACCCAAAAGGATAGCTTCTAGAAATCTGTTTCACCACTAGTGACATCACATTAAAAAAAAAAAAAATTAAGAGGTTAACCTACATATTTGAAATACCTTATTATGTATCTCTTCCCCATTCTTTTATTTACTAAACTCTCACTACCCTACCATCCCTGTTTCAACCTTCACACTGTTACTTTCATCTTAGACTTCCTAAGAAAGAAGGAGGGAACAATGCGGGCAAAGTTCAGAGGAAATGACAGCACAAGTACAGGGAGTTGCATTATGAGCAGGTGGCCTTGCTCACCTGGTTTAGGCCCCAGGATAACTTTCTATCATGGATCATCCCCCTGGGAGATTTTTTAAGGTCAGCCCCATCCATCTGGTCTGATTTCCTGGCCTCTGTATTATGCTCCTTTCTTGGGCTCCGGACCTTGAAAGATTCCTTCCACAACATCATTATCCAAACCATTGGGTATGGTTGACCACCTTTTCAGAGTTCTAACTCCATGTTCTAGAGGTTATGGCTCAGTCACCAGCCCACACTTCTTCCTTTCTGTTCATTCTGGCTTCTTTCCCTTGTCTTATTGTGCTTATTCCTGGTTTCCCACATACTGGGTGCAAAGCATTTGCTCTGAAGACAGGAAGTGTTTCCTTTTCATTTTTTAAAGCCTATTCATTGCCCCACTCATACCACCAATGTATGCTTTGTATTTAATGTTCAAACGGCTAACTGAATAAAACACAACTACATTTTAAGGAATACTCATGCCTTCTACAAAGCCAACCTAGACTGACTTAATAACTTTCTTTCCTGATTTAATTTCTCATTAATCAACAAGGCACAGGGACAACAAATGTGGCCCAAAGTTTATTTGGTATCTTTTACTGCTATCTTTCTCCTGGGTCCCAACTGTTTGCTCTGAGATTCATCTCAATCATCAAAGAAGGAACTGCATCCCTTTCCTTAATACTCATGGGAAGTTTTCCTAGTTTTTTTCTTTGATCTGCAATATTTAAATAACATTAGTATTATCCATTCCTTTAAGTATGGGCAGAATTCCTCACAAACAAGTGAGCCTGGCGCTATGGTGGTGTAGCTCTTTGGTTACTTTTCCCATTTCTTTGATGGCTACCAATCTGTTTCAATTTTTGTCTCTTCTAACAGTCAATTTTGCAATTTATATTTTCCTTGAGAATTACACATTTTGTCGAGGTTTTTATAGCTCTTTGTACATACTGGAGTCAAATGGTTACTTAGGATTCTTTGAACTTCCTAAGTAGAAAATTGGATGTTTCAGTAACCTAATGTTTTCTTCAAGGAAAAAAAAAAAAAGATCAGAATTAAGGGAAAAATTGAAGAATAATGTTAGCTAGAAAAGGCAAAAAAGAGTAATAGCAATCTTTAAGAATAGTGCTTTTAGTATTACTTCCCAAAATGTTGGGGATCAATATGAAATCAATCTCCAATCCTGTATAACTATCTTATTCACTGAATATAGCAAATATGAAGTAAGGCTCATATTTAAGGTGTATGTAAAAAAAAAAAACAATATATGTTGCAACTACTAAGCTTGTTGATGTCACAGTTCAAGTGCTCATTACCAAAATTAACAGAATATTCTTGCTTAAAAGCAGACTTCTTAGCCTTGAGGTCCACAAAAATGTGGGGTTTTTAGATAATGTGTGTGACTCATGAAACACAGTATTTCTGAACTTGTAAAGTCTTAGAGATTGCTAGTCCAGTAATCCAGCTTACACACAAGTGGCCCAGAGGAGTGAGGTGACTCACCATGACCTAGGCTTCTTGGATAGCTAAAGATACATCAACCAAGTTCTAGTTCGTCCCAACAGACTGCATACCACTTTTAATTAAGGCAAATATTTAAACTTGATCATGTGTGACATTTATGAAGTAGCGAAAAATTCTTATTCTCTTCCTGGAGGATCTTGAAGCACAGGAGGGGTGATGGTCATCTGTCCATTATTATTTAGGTGACATGTGCCTAAAGAGGAAATGAACTAGATAATCTCTTGATTTCTAGCATTTCAATGGCCCTCTCTCCAAGTGAAGCTTAAAAAAAATCAATGAGACTACATCCACAGATAAAACTGATGTTAAATTTTTAAAAGCAACCCAGGTCTTCATTTATTTTTAAGTTGTCAGGCCTGCCTTTAGAGGGCATTTAAAAAAGGAATTACACATACGTAAAGAACACTGTGAAAGTTTAATTTCTCTGGCCTTTTAATTACCCTCTCCTCTAAATGCCCTAAAATATCCAAAGCAATTAAGTACTAATTACACAATTTCTTTTTCTAAAATAAAGGGCTGATTTTGAGTCAGAGAACAAAACACATCTGAAACTAGTTAACATATACTTAAGAATCATAGAAGGGCATAGAGGACTACCAAGGAAAGGTTTGAGGTTTTGTTTGTTTTATTAAAAGGCTTTAAATTTTTAAAGAAATACAGTTTTTCCCTGGAAAATTATGCAAAATTCCAGTTCATGACATCTGAAAATGAAAAGTAACATTCTGACATGGCCTTTTATCTATGAATTTGTCCAAAGGTTTCTAAAATGCTAGGTTAAATTACATTGTATGATGAAAAGAATCTTACCACCTATTACATTTCTATTAAATTGAGGAAAGGCAAAAGATATACATGAACACAAATGAAAACTACAGTATATCTTTTCTATTCTAGGATTTTGTTTTTGTGTGTGTGTATGTGTTTTCCAAAACACTGTCTCATTTAATACTTGGAGCTATGACCTTCATATCCATATTTTTATGTTCTCAAAGAGTGAGTTTCACAGTCTTTTCTACCAAATTTAAGAAGTCAACAAGGTTTCAGCAATAGATGTTACTATGATATGCATACCATGAGCAAAGGTATACAGAACAGATATGCATTTAATGGGGAGACCCACAGCACAGATAAACAAAATCTTCAGAGAACCCCAAACTTCATTACAGCCATTAGTTTCAATTTCTTCCCCCAAAGCCTCTTATCAAAGCTACTAATAAGGAATACAACTGACTGCTCTGACCTTGTCCTTT